ATGCTGCTGTGTGGAAGAGAACTTGTTGTGATCAAGGAGATTAAGGTAAAGCACCTCCTGACTCATGGTAATTCCAAACAGCACTGGTCCACTGGAGGTTGCTACTGTCTTTACTTATCAGGACACCTATGATATTCATAATCTTTAATTACATATACTTTGGTAGCTCCTGGTGGGTATTTATCAGTAGGTCCAACACACTTTGCAATGGAAACAACGTATTTGAAAACAAACTCACAGCATAATCTGAGCTGAAATGGAGCTGTGAGGGTCACCTAGTCCAACACCCTGCACAGAGCAAGTCTGTTCAGCTCAGGTTGCTAAAAGCCTCTCTCCTCTCACATTTGTACTGTCTCCAAGGTTGGGTGGATATAGCACAACCTGCCTGGCAATCTGCTCCAGTGCCTGACCATTCTCTGAGCAAAAATGTTTGTTCTTATACTGAACAGGAATTTTGCACATTCAATGCTTGTGTACTGTCACTGTGCACCCCAGAATACTCTGGGTACACCCTGCCATGAGGGAGCTGAAGGCAGCAAGAAAGGTGTAATATAATGTGAAAATACACTTAGTACCACAAAAAAAGGGAGATGCAGACTGTCTCCTATGAGGATGAGTAACTAGACTGTCAGGAATGGAGACAAAGTTCATCAATGGTAAATTTAAACTTATTTTCAAAATCAGTTCATGCTGTCTTGTGGCAAACTTTTGTCAGGAAACAGAGCAGAAAGAGCTCTGGGGCACTGCTGTGCACCTCCTCCCTCCAATAATGCACTAGGTGGTTGGTCCTAAGCAGGTAAATGACAGACCTGCCCAGAGCTCCAGATAACATCTCAGTTTCCATGCCTGGTTTTATCATCAAGTCTGCCACCCATCCCACCTGACACTTGATGCATGTGAGGCTCAAAAAGGGAGTGAATCATAGAGTACTTCCCTCTAATGGTCTTAGCAACGGAGTATGATTGACATAGTTTCAGAGAGATCAATGAACATTTTAGCCAGAAGCTAATGCAGGAGCAATAACTTTGCTCAATTCTATTAGTGCTGTCTGTACAGAATGCCCTGCCCTAAAACTCATCTGCCACTGGGATGCAATCCAATGTTTATTTCCATTAGTTTAGCCATTGTTGGTAACAATAAAAATCAGGAGACAGTTGCAAACTAATGATTTACAGGCAGAATGAACCATGGGCTGACCTTGGCTGCCTTCCACTCACCAGGAAAATGACTGGGAGTTAGAAATAAATTAAAATTACTGCAAAAGGATAACAGAAGTTATTTCTCAGCTAGGTAATTTTACCAGCTAAATAGCCCTGTCATTAAACTAGCAGCTGTTGTACAAATTATATTCTAAGATTAAAAAAAATAAAATTAGAGGTTCCATAGTTGTTGCAGCTTTAAGAATGATGGAAACCCCAATTCTACAGGAGGTGACAGAAGAGGAGCTCTTGTGATAAGGCTGAACACACAGACTTGGCTGGACTGTGCTCAGCTGAATGACTCTTAGGGAAGTTTGGCAGAAAAGATCAAGAAAGTTATCTATTATCAGAAATGGAAATTCCTTTACAGGTGATTCCAGAGGGAAAAAAAGCAAATATTCCCAGACAGGAATTTGCACTTAATGAAACTTGAGAACTTTGTTTTGCAAATTTAAGGTATTCTGAGAAAACAAAACCATCAGCAATATACTCTGTGCATATTTTTGACAGTGACTGCAGTGAGACTTCTCTTCCTTTTACCTTCACCCATTGCTACTGCACTTGTTAATGCTTGTCATGTTTTGTGCACTCCTGTACAGCCATCTCAGACCTTTCACCCTCCACTCCTGTTTAACAACCTCTTTTTTGGCCAGTGGAGAATAAAACACCAAACTACTCAAACAGCTGCAGTGCGATACTACAGAGAACAATCACTGGTCCATGCAACTCTAATTTATGAAATATATTCTGGTTTTCAGATGCATTGGGTAGCCAAAAATCAACATCTGGAAAGAGTTTTCACATTTGCAAAAGTACATCTCCCAATGTCAGTCAGGAATGGAAATGTATAGCTGTGATTCCTCATCACTGGTCAAAAAAATGTACAATTGACAAAAGAAACAGAATAAAAAAAAGATGAAGGGAGGTTGCATCTTTCCTGCTTTTAATTTTTAAAGCAGAAACCCCATTTTTGCCTGTGTTAAGTCCCAGCATCAAAACTGCATGGGACTTCTCAGAGAACTGGCCACCAATGAGTTCTGTTTTAAATCCCAAACAAAACATGCTAATTATTTTCCCCAATTCCTTTAAAGAAATGATTCATATTTTGTATGAAACTTTCCATATAATTTCATCAGCATGAAAGATATCAGACCATGAGAAATCCAATCCCAATTGCCTGGCCACTAGAAAAGGAAATGTTGGGAAACCTTTCTAACAGGAATGTTAGAATGTTCTCAGCCTCATCTGTGTTTATGGAATAAATCCCCAGTGTGGCCACAAAGATGCAGCCCCAGGGGGGATCAGGATCTATGCCCACTGCTGTAGACTGGCACTGACACCCCATCTGCCCAGGACAGAGCTGGCACCAGAGACAAGGCAACCTGCAATCCCTCCTGGCCACTGCTCCAGCTCTGACAGCAGCCAGAATATTGTGGGCAAACCCCACTCAAAACCAGACAAGCACACTGAAACTCCACCAACAAGCAATACTTTAAAAAGGCCAGGAGAGCAGATCAAATGAGAAAGCAAAAACCTGGCAGAATTTTAGGCCTTTAAAAAGGCCAGGAGAGAAGATCAAATGGGAAAGCAAAAACCTGGCAGAATTTTAGGCATTAAATACCACTAGGAGCCATTTTTCCCATCAGATGCTGTACACAATGTTAATGTGAATATTATAATGCTGACAACTTGTTCTTGACTGAATTATGAAGCTAATAATTTAGAAAGGAGGGATGCAGTGCTTGTGTCAATGCCCCACGTTGCTAACTGTAGCAAATTAGTGCATTTACCTGATATTATGCAGCTGAGACATTTGTTTGGCAGGGAGTCAGGCCAGCCAGAGGGATTAGCATGCTGTCATTTTCCTATAGACCATATTTTTCCATAGCTGATGACACTTGAAAGGTACAAGAGAACCTGCTCTGTTTTCTCAGATTTACTCCTCTGCCAGTGCAGTATTTGTGTTTGATGTACAGGTTGCTGTAACCTCAGAGCTTGGATTAGGCCTCACTCTGCTCAGTTTGCATGTCAGGCACACAAATAAGGAGTACACAGCTCTTGAATCCCACCAGGGATAATGAGCCAACCTTCACTCAGAGACTGTGAAATAATAACATCAAAAATTGTTTAGAGATTGAGAGTGTTACCTGGCTGCAGAACACAGTGCCTAAAAACCAACATTTTAAAAATGTCCAGAACTTTCACATGGTCTGACTGACAAAATGCTGCACTGGGACTCAAGAAATCACCAATTTGCTTAGTGTGTTTGGCCAAAGGAGAATCTCTCTCCTGCAAAATGGGGTATACACCATTTACTTGGTAGTTTCACAGCCATGACAGAACCTTAAATCACTACATATCAGTGTGCAAAGGTGTTATGAAGAGCACTGTGGGTTTGACACTGAAGACACTTATATAGTTGAAAGTAACTAATCTTTGGCAAAAGTCAAGTCTAAGGTTTAGAAATTTGTTATGGCTAACATGAGAGACTTAAAGATAGTGTTATGAGATGACACACACCAACTAATCTTTGGCAAAAGTCAAGCCTAAGGTTTAGAAATTTGTTATCGCTAACGTGAGAGACTCAAAGATAGTGTTATGAGATGACACACACTGTCACCAGGTCCTCCTAACTCATCACACAGACAAGGCAACTCCCCACCACTAAGAGTTTATCGTGGAACCCTAGGTTGAGATCCAGGAGACCTGGAACTAAATCTAAAAAGACAGTTGGGGACCTAAATACTGATGGTCTGACATGAATTTTAGGTTCCTTAGTAAAAAATGGGCACCTAAATCCCTGCCTCGGCTTCTGTACCTTTTGGGCAGTTGGTGTGTCCTGGGACAAGCTGCTTCTCCTCCTGTCTGCACAGGCCCTTCCATTTTTTAGCTGACTGAGCCATTCAGACTTACAGGTCTCCACATTTTGTATTTGAAAAGTACCTACCACAAGCCAGGAGTGGGAGCTGAAGCAAGAAGTCTCCAGGATTTATTTGGAAATCTCTCAGTTACCCTTACAACTGAAATAAGAAGCAGATCACCCTAGGGATCATTCTGCTGTGGTCTGATGGTCACCTGAATGCTCATCTAGCCCAAGCCTCAACATCCATCCCTGGTTTCTGCATTAAAGCAGGTTACTCAAGAACTCATTTGCATGAGACAAACTGCAGGAACTCCTGGCTCATTGCCCAAACAATGGTTTGACACCTTTTTAATGCAAATATATTAATCTGAGATATTTTAAGCTTCACCTTCCCTTACCTCAAGACTGAATCACTGAACATTTGGGGGCCTGGGAAGAGTCTTAAATCTTGACTTGCTTCCAGGAACTAGAAGCTTCTATTGCAACATTTTGAGCCTGCCAAGAGTCTCTGACTGACCTACAGGGAAGCTGCCTCCTGCATTTAAAGCAGGAAGATTCATTAGTTTTTAACAGCATATACTTTTCCTAGGAATACAGCCTTAATGTAGCTGCAGTCTCCAACAGAGGCAGTGACTTTTGCATGGTCTTAGTATGCTGTCAAGCTAGCTGGACTCATTCAATAAATGACAGACTGGAACCATTTGTTTTCCTCACCTCAAAAAACACAAGCACAGCAGCAGAAGCAGCAGACTGCTGCTTGACAAATGCCATGCTGACAATATCCTGGCTGCAGCTAACACTTCCTTAGCACTGAGACCTGTCACACTACAACAGAAGTCCCAGTGGTACTTCTCAAACCTTAGCTTGAAGCAAAGTACATGAACTGTTTGATTTGTCTTGACAAGCTATGTGTAAATAAAGACATAACTGAACTTTACCCCTTGTTCTTGGCAGATCTGGGTTAGTCTTTCCAGCTGCTCATCTTGAATAACCTTTGCCTTCTCATATTGCTGAATCATCATCTCCATCTCCACTTTCACTGGAAGGACATACGCTGGAAAACACAAATAACACTTTAAGCAACCCAGCTGTGACTTGGTGTTTTATCAGAGAGAACACTTCTACAGACCTTTACAGGCCAAAGAATGTCACCCCTTTCCCTTGCATCTACAGAACTAGAGTATTTCTAACAGAAACAGCACGAGAGTATTTTTGGGGGGGAAGGATTTCTAACATGGGAAATGCAGGGTCTAGATCTTGTTTGGTCAGACCTCCATCTGCCTGGCTGAGCTGAAATGCATGCTGCTTGCTCTTCTTATCTTCTGAGGTGCTACCACAGATCCTTCCCAGTTTACCTCAGATTTCCTGAATTGCTGGGTTGGAGGGTTTTCTGGTTAGAGTCACATCCATCCCCTCTAAATCTGAACAGCACGGCTCCCTTAGGAAAAGAACTATTCCAGAGCCCTAAGCATTTAATTCCTACACTTTGTGGTAAGAAATAAGTCCCTAATGGAAATAGCAGGCTAAGAAGGATAGTTTTTAAAAACAAAAAAGGCATTTATATTCTACTGTTTTTCAAGCTACAGCCCAGTTTTCAATAGGTCTTCTGAATGCCTCTGGAAATTTTGCTCCAGTCATAACTGTGGCAAACAGACAGACCAGTAAAGCTGTTCAGTGCATACTGCAATTCTTGATGTTTTCTGAAGCCACATGAGACCCTGAACTCTTCTTGTACACTTCAATCACAGGGCTATGACCTTTCCCCAACTCTGAATACAGTTTCCTGGGCATTTAAACTCAAAGTAACAACCTGACTCTGATCTTTCACACAGAAACAAAGTGACTCTTCATTTACTCCTTTTCCACCTCTTCTCCCTGAAATGCCTGGAACTCCTGAGCACACAGTAGCCTACACTAAAGTCCTTACTTCCAGGCACAGCCACAGACTCTGCTCTCTGCAGCCTTCACTTGCTGAGGCTTCATCATCTCCCCTGGTGCTTCCCCACAGAGGTCTGTGCAAAACACCACCAATAAACACTTTGCTGTTGGGCTGTACAGCACAGCAGCACTGCAGAGAGCACCTTCAGCAGGGAACCCCCATGGCAAGAAAATGCTCCTGGAATCTGACATAAAATTTGTAGCACTGCCAGGAACATGGAAAGGAAAGTCCCAAGACAGAGCTGGCTGTATGGTAATGGGGAGGGTGCAGCAAATATCAGAAAAGCAGACTGGAAGCAATTATTTTGCAGAATCAGGAACTGACATTTGGTGGCAAGAGACATGAAGCAGGTCAGGGCATTTACTTCACAGGCTAGGGGATGGGAAGGTGCCTAACAGAAAAACAAACCAATGAATTATAAAGGCTCCTAGGGAGCAGGAGACACAGCCATGATCTTGAGACCTCCTCTCCTCCATGGGAGTCATAACTCTCTTCTGTTCAGTGCTAGCAAAATGTAAGAGAAAGGAGAATGATAGCAAACTGTATTTTTAAACCCTCTCTTTTCCAGCCTGCCAGGCAATGCTTGGAGTCACAAACTGAGTCACCACTCACCATCAATGATCCTCTTCACTCTCCATATCCGCAGGGTGATGATAAGGCTGATAGCATCCCATGGGCTGCTGGGGCCATTAGCCACTGTTGAGGCCACCATTGGTGCCAAGGACAAGATTATGACAGCACCATCAAACACCTAGGGAGAAATCAGGTTTTTCAAGCCCTTCCTTAAGTTGTACCCCTGCCATTCCTCCCTGGAATCTTGAAGGACTCCTTCTTTGCCCAGAAGAACTGCAATTATGGTACATATTTGAAAGGGAGATGAGAGGTGGCCAAGCCACAGACAGGCTGCATCCTTTTTAGGTAGCACAACGGAATTCCTCAGTGCTTTTTACGAGGTGAGGAGAGATAAACTGTGGTCGCAGGGCAGGGAAGGAGAAAGGTATTTGGAAATACTGGCCAAAATCCCCAAGGAGAAGCAATAGCCTAAATGTTATTACAGAGTTTTATTATCATTGGTATTTATTACCTGTTACTTGGCATAATGTCATCCAAAAAAAGGATGCAGTCCCTGCCCATAGATCTTACTGTCTAAATGAAGAGATCAAGAAGACAAGTAGAAAAAGATGGAGCAAAGAGACTTGATGGCTCTTGGCCACGTCCTGACTACACAACACGTGTGGGAATGGCTGTGCACCTAGACAGACAGACTGCCTGCTCTCACTTTATGGGGCACTGAGGTTTCCCAGGATTTTGACAACTGGGACCATTCAGAATGATTTATAGGACATTGGCTGCATTGGGATTAGATCAGAAAAGGCAATTGTGCAAAGCATTAGACAGAAATGAGTAAATACATCTCAGAGCGAACCAGCAATAGTGTTGTGTCTATCCCACACTGGCCTAGCAGGGTAGAACAGAATACCATGTTCTCATTCCTACTGAGACCCTTCTCTGCTGCCAAGGACCACTGATTAATGGTTTGCATAAGGAGGCAGGACATCAGTTTTTATAAGCACTACATATTCAGAATTGTGCACAACAATTCAGTGTATTGAAAAGAAATACTTCTTACTGCCACCACTTGATGGGCAGTAAACAATGTCACTGTTCCAAATCACCAAAAGCAATTAACAGAAACTGCTGCATTTAGCCCTAGTAATAAGCATCTCGGAATCAACAACTTCAGTTTCACTCCAGTTTTTTAGCAAAACAAGTTAAAATGTTTACAGCTTTATTAAAAAATGTGCAAGCTACCAGACTTGCTAAAGCTCCAAGAAGACTCAGGTTTTCTTCTGGTACATGCTGTACAGTATTAGTTTATCAGACAGTATCAAGAAAGAGTTTTTAATTTTCCTGATCTCCAGATTTTTGCTCCAACTTCTAACACACCCATTTCCTTCTGTGTCTCTGCAGCAGTATGCACATCCTACCTGGTTTTTCATTTGAGGTACAAATGACACTCTTTATCATAATTAAATTTGATTAAAAAACAATTTCAGAATAATTTTTTTCTCCAAACCAATATTTTCCATCAGAAAACTCCATACAGTTTCAACCAGTTCTAAATTCAACTGGATGACAGGAATGGGGATACACAACTCATGACAATTGTTACTCATATCTCAGAGTAGCAGCAGCAAGTTAGTCTAGCATAGCTCTAACAACAAAATAAATACAAAGATCAAACTCCCACAATTCCTTCATAAAATATGCTCCAATATCCCACTCTCCTGAGTCTCTCACAGCACAAGGGGCTGCAGCACACTGCTGTGGATGTTTGCATGCCATGAGGAGAATGTTTAGCTGCTCTAGGAGATACTGGAGTGCATCAGGCCAGTAACAAAGCCACCCAAAGTTCTTCAGAGGCTGCTGGAAAACAGGAGCAAGAGGAAGAGTACTTACCTCTATTTTGTTTTCAATGTAATCCCATATGCCAAGGACCACAATCCTCAAAATAGTCTAGTAAAACAGATTAGAGGGAAAAAGGATGATGAATGTTATTGTAAGCGTAAACATTTAGTCCTTTATCTATTAAGGGAATAGTTTTTTTCTTTTTTAAGCATTTCTTCTAAATAACAGTGAGGCTCTAGAAATAGCTACAATTCTGTGTTATAAAAGCAGGTATTGCTTTCCAGCCACTCTATTGACTCAGTGAAGCCTCTACAAACAAGTTCCAAGGTCAAATGTTCATCAGTCTTTCCATCCTCCCAAAATTTTGCTTTCAGCTTTGTGAGATTCAGATTGCCAACCCTGCCCATCTCCCTGGCTCAAGCCTATGCATGATCCACTGTGGGGCTGCCTCAGTTGGAATGGGGGGAAATTCTGGCCAGTGCTTACTATTTTCTAAGAAAAGAGGCACTGTCCTCTTCTGATGCCTAAAGACACTGACATTTCATCAGTCTGAGGAGCAGATGCTCTTATCTGGAGTACAGGGCAGTTGTCTTGTTATAAAATCCCTGAAAGTCATAGGATAAGGGATAAAAATATCTCTGTAATGCTCGTCTATGAAGCAAAACAGCTCTAAGCAGCCTCAGTAGCTAGAAAAGAGGAATAAAGAAAGAACACAGAATGAACCAATGGTGAATTCCCATTAAAAATCCAATGACACCATTCCCTAATTTTTCACCTGGCTTTAAGAAGACACAATAAAATAAAAAAAAAATATCAATCAGTCATTTTACGATTGAAATCGAGCTCAGATTAAAGCATAACTGGTAGAGATGTTTTCTGCCAATGGCAACACCAAGGTCAGATTCTGACAGCCATGAGGAGCTGTGGGCCTTGCAAACACCACCAAAATGCTACTTTCTCCCTGAAAGAACAGCATAATGACTGAGAGCTCAGCAGCTCTGTGTGTGAGGGGTGACCATGCCAAGAACTGCGCAGGAAGAAGTGACTCTGATGAATGCCTAGATCTCCTCTTCAGTACAAATACAAATATTAAATCCCAAGCAACTCAGAATTTATGCCAAACATACCAGCACTAACTCACTGCACAATAACACTGAATTTTTCAGTGCTGTTCCTGTGCATGGTTTTGCCAAAACCCACGAGCTCAATTGCCTCATTTGGCCTGGGATGACTGCACCAAGTTCTCTCTTGGCACTCCAAATGTGGATAACAGCACTCACTCCTGTTTTGCAGAGGGAGACACTGCTGTGGGAATGTGGTGCTTCCAGAGCCCAACCTCACACCATCAAGGAGCAGCAAAGTGACCCGACCAGCCAACACTTGCTCAGAAATGGCAAGAGAAAGGGAATCACTAGCCAGAAGAGAAAATGCAGAGCTCTATTTCCTCTACAGAAAATTGAGACTGTACATAGACACCAAGACCTGCTAATGCTGCTGGTCTGTACTCCTAAAACCAACGTTTTTACCTCCAAAGCATTTTACAAATGCAGCCTACGACTAAGGCTTGCAGCAATTTCCTTATTAAGCTACACCCTCGAGGTTTATTTTTTATGTGGAGGGAGAAATGCACAAGAGTAGCTGCTCAAATCCCTTCATGAGCCCAAACTGGGCAGCATGGTGTGATGTAATGTAGGTGCAAGGTGTAAGTACACGTGCTACTGACCAACCAAGGCACTCCTGCAGCCTCCACTGGGGTCCTGAGCTGAATACTGTCAGCCAAAAGCATCCCAGCTGCTCTGTCAGCACCTCCCTCACTCCCCACTGAGAACCTAAGTACAAGTTAGCCATGAGCCCTAAATTCAGCTGCATTAGTTAACCAGGGGTCCACCACAGCAAGCTCCACAGCAGGCAGCCATGGGAAACATGAGGAAAAGCAGAGCCTTCTGTAAAGCTTGGGATGCCACCCCTCCCACAGCACAGACTCATCTGCCTCCTCTGCTATGCTTGGGCAGGATTTATTAGGTGCTAGCTCAATGAGCAGCTAACTACAGGACAGCTCAACACTTAACACCTTTTCAGAAACTGAGAGTGAAAATCTTTCTTCCTTTGGACAGGTGTGCAGAAGGTATTTGCACTGAGTAAGGCATATCTGCACAAAGGGAACAGAAACACCATCTCCCAACCCTAAATATGATTTAACATGGGGCTGCTGAGGGAACAAAATAAGGGATTTTCCTTTCTGCCTGTTTAATTCCTCACTGCAGTCTTTAAATCAGATTGTGCTACTGTCCTATTAATGGGTCTGAGCAGCTCCAAGGGCTGGAAGCTAAGCACAAATGTTTTTATTCTCAGGCTGCTGGTGTGAATCAGCACAAGTCAGCAGTAACTGGAAGTCTACTTGGCAGACATTTCATGCAGGATTGGTTGTCGGTGCTGCCTCTGGAAGAGAGGTCTCCTCCTCCCAAAACATGCCTTGCTGATCAGCACCTAGCTAGAGCTGACACACTGCAGGAAGGTGAGGGTAAGGGTGGGATAAGCCCAGCTCCCCATCCAAGGTGCACTCTCCAGCACCAGCTGGGCACAGCTGAAGGGTAGCTTAGATGGCATTTGTTCTGAATGGAAGGCCTTAAAGCTCTGCACCAGCAATGTCACTCTTACCAAAAACAACCCCATCACCACTGAAGAGACCAAAGCCATGCAAGGCAGCCTTTTCCTGCTGCCCTGGGGAATGAGGCATCCCAGGAAAGCACCATAAGTGAGTCCCAATCTGTGCACAGAGACAGAAATTAATGATTCAAGAAACTTCCTAGGCACTGTACAAGGACCAAACTGAAAAAATGCAATATGAATTACAAGAGAATTGCAACTGTAACATTCATCACAGACAAAACAAATGTTACTCACAACTCTACTACTTGTAGGCACAAGAATCTACAGAAAACAGGGAAAAAAACTGGAGCAGCACTGCTGGTTCCTACTGATGTGCAGGCACTTCTCAGCACTGTAGCAAATGAACACACATAGTTCTGCATTACACTACAGGCATTCTGCAGTTTGGAACATGCAGATTTGAAAGCAAATGTTAAATATCAGTGTGACCACTTTCCTGTTCAAGGTCATTGCCAGCTTGATTTTTTTGTACTGGAAAAAGAATGCCTGGAAATAATTTTATTAGAAAGTCCTTAACATATATATGTTTAGTTGTATCAGAAATACCTATTTGCTTTTCTGACAGAAGCCAAATTATTACATAAAAATCTGTTCAGTGCACTAATAAAAGGTAAATGACTGACCAGCTCTGTCAACCCAGACCAAATTTTAAACCATTTTTCAGACAGTAATGCAGTTTGGAAGCTGACAGTGTCCCTTGGTGACACACAGTTGTTTGCATGACATTAACTGTCTGCAGTGAAGTTTATGAGGAACTGTGTGATGCTGCAGGTTTTCTCTCTAATT